ATCCGGGTTACAGTAATTCGCAATGACAAGCCGCCACACATCCACAATGTTTTGCGCAGACTTGAGTACGCAAAGAATACCAAGAAAGATGACAAGCCAGGATAGATTCGGTCTTCGAATAGAGCTTAGATTCCGGTTCTCGTAGAGAGTAAAGTAGGCAGTCGTCTGTGCGGCCAGGATACCTAGAACGGGTAAGGAGTAATCAGCAAGCTTGCACCCTAGATCTTCCCTCGAGCTAAGTGTTCACTTACCTTGTAAGAAAAGGTCTGCGAATGTACCCATAATCCATGGTGCTATCGTTACTCTGGCATGACTGACGAAATGCTGCGAAGCAGGGCTCAGTATGACGACGGACGTCGGCAGCGAGGTTCCATTATTCGACATGCGGTCGTTAGTGCAGAAAGTCTTTTCTCTTGGGCCCTGTAGGTAAGGATCATGAAAACGGGGGAATCCAAGGCTCGATGACGAAAATAGTCGCTAGGTGGCCATATATATCACTCGAAACGTATTTGTAAACTCTTCGTAATTGCTATCGCGAATATCCGGAATGCAAGCGCCAGGTTCACCGATGATCGGTCTCGTCGACAATTAGCTTTCCGGAGATGGTTTAGTGTGAAAAAGGTGCCTATTTTTTCGGGTACGCCACCAAACAGGTGGCCATGGTGATAACCTCGCCCCACAAAAGCAAATACGCCAGTGAAGGCGTACAGAGCGATTGATGGACTTTGTGGATACTTTTTGACACTCCGCCCGACGTTGGTGGTTCGTTGCGCCATCGTATCTATACACATCATGTTTCGTGCTATTGAGAGAAAGGACAGCCCTGACTATGGGTTGTTTGGGTAGGGACAGAATTGTGGAGGAGGGCAAAATTTGGTGTCGAAATTCATTTTCATTGGGTGAGGCGGGTACAGACATAAAATACAATGTAATACAATCGGCCAGCGACCTACTCCCGAGGGACTAGGAACCCAGTATAAGTTTATCGATGCAAGACCCTCCCTTTCCAGCACAGTCTATTCGTTCCTCATTCCCAGCTGATCTACGTAGCTTGAGCCTATTATTTAATTTTTGAAGGGGTGGAATGATTCGAGGCGGTCTAGGGATATGATATGATGTGTCGATGTGGAAGTGGAAGAGTGAAGTCCTATGGAAACATCGATCATTGCTTCACGATCAGACTGTATTTCGTTGCGAATATTGAGTGTGTAGATGAGCGACATTGCGTATAATTTTGCGAGTATCATATTGATTGCAATATGCCTAGTCATAGTATGAGCCATATGTAGAAAGGAGAACAAGACTCCATACGTATTCCGGAGTGACGGGTAGCCTTGAAGAATTATCGCATTTACAAGGACGCAGATTGTGGGCGGAAGTGCAGATGTCCAGACAATCCGAATTAGACGGTTCATCATCTTCAATGTCCTAAGTAAATTGAAAGGATCAGAGGGACAGAACTACAAGCTAACTAGAGTTTGGCTTACGAGTTTGCAAGACCTGCCTTCTGGCTATACAAGTGCCAAGCGGTCCCCGCGGTGATAAGTACGTCCACACTGATGGCCGAGATGAAGTGGGTCGAGGCTACAGATGAAAGGTAAGAAAATTGGTAGCTGGCGGAAAGCTGGGCGAATACTTGCACCAAAACACTGCGGAGAGAGGTCCGTTTAGAGGGGGTCTATTGGGAACCGGGCCGACACTGGGTTTTAAATCCGCAAGAGAGGCTATCTAGTACCGATATTGGTCAGCTGACTGCTATCTTGCAATGCATAGGAACTCATAACTCACCACCAAGGAGGCGGCGACAATAGAAAGGAGTATTCCTATCATCATGACAAGGCATATGTACCAGTGTCTAGGCAATTTCCAATACCGATGAACGAAGAAAGTTTGGACAATCGTTGCGATAATTGCTGTCTGCCCAGAGAGACATGATGTTAGATAGGCTACCCTGGTAACCCCGAATACTTACCAACAAACTGGTCGTATAGTGCTTCCATTCCGACTCAGGGAGAGATAAAGAGACATCTGGATTAGAATAATTCGTAACGACGAGTTCCCAAGTGTTCACAATGTTTTGTAGAGACTTGATGAGGCAAAGGATGGTAACGCCTATGACTAGCCAGGTCAAATTTGGTCCCTGATTAGACTTTATGTTCCGCTTCTTTTGGAGGGAGAAGTAAACAGCCACTTGAGACGCCAAGATACCTGCGGCAAATGGTATGAGACGGGGCTAGTGCTTCGCGGCGATGGCACGAATACTCACCTTGCAGGAAGAGATCAACAAAGGTCCCCGCAATCCAGGGGCCGATTGTGAGGCTGGCTTGACTAACAAAGACCTGCGCAGCAGGGCTAAGTATGATTACTGACGCCGTCGGAGATGTTGTGGTGTTCGACATTCGTTTGTTCTTGCTAAGAGCTCTGTTACAGTTAAATAGGAGTGGTCATGGAGTGTGGGGAAACGTCGAGTCGATCCAAGGCGAGCTGCGGGAGGTAACTATATATCGTGGTCTAGGAACTGAGCAGCCGTCCTATCGTTTCCACCGGAGATGTTAGGAAATGGTGAGTGCCCCATAAGCGTATGCCCGGTCTTGAGGAAACGACAACAACCCCAATTACCGGAAGCTATTGGCTGCGGAATTTTGCGGTCATGACGATAGCGTCTGCAGCAGAGGTATCAACGCGATGTGGTGGTCGAAGTCTAAGTTGCACCGTCGCGTCCCTTAATGGTTGTTGTCCCTAAAAGCTTGCGCCTTGGGATACTAGATTATATTAAAAGTTCATCGCCATCGC